TGCATTTGAAGTGGCTCAAAAAAATGGAATTCCTCATAAATTTAATTCAGGGAGTGCTTTGGCTGGTATAGATTGGTTAAAAGGATTCCTTAAAAGACATCCAAAAATATTAGCTACAGAAAACCCCAACCAACATCAGCAGCTAGAGCTATGGGTTTCAATAGAGTAGCCGTTGAAAGTTTTTTTCTAAAACTCTTAAACTCAAACTAAAACTCTTACACTTCTTCTTTGTTTTCTTTTTTTTTTAATATTTAAGTTTTATAAAAGATTAAAGAAACGTGTGAAGGTTTTTTGTGTGATCTCTGATTTCTTTAACTTACAAAAATAATAATAAAGAAGTTTTTGTTGTGATTTTCTTATGCTAAAGTGTTGTTGTTATTTTTATTTTTTTAAACTGTCGTTATGTTGCTAAGAAATAAAACTATTTCGTTTGGAAGTTGTGTTTCTTTCCTTATTATGACCACCCCACAATGCCCCATAGGAGACCCCACTTTACCCCTATACACGGGGCATAGCGGGTCAAATGCCTTTTTTCATTTAAGTATTTACATCTCGTAGATTACTTACGTTATCAACATAAATATATCCATAGGCATTCACAATGAATTAAGCTATGATTCTAAGTTAAAAATTTTAATTTAATCACATTAGTTTAGTTTTTAGGAATGTTTAAACGTTAAGTACCCTACTATGCCCCCCTCTCCCCTAATAGTGTTGCTTAGTAAATTGTCTTTTTAAATAATAGCAAACTAAATTAAAATTATTATCCTTAATTAATTTTAACTTTTAAATTACACATAGAAATATTATATGGCTTAAATAATTAATACTATATTTTATATTTTTCTTTTTGGTTATAAATATAATAATGGCAACACTAAATATAGAAATATAGATTACTAATTAATATTTTAAAATTGTAATACTCGTAATTATAATAATAACAGCAAAATTAAATAAATTATATTCCATATTCAATTATAAAACTTATTAAAATTATAAAAATGTTTAAAGTTAAAAAATATTGTAAGGTAATGGGTGAAATTTTCATTTTGTTAATTGTGGGTAGGCTGTCTGTAACAACTTGAGACATGTAACACCTCAGTCTCTCCCGTGACCATGAATGCTATAAAGCATTCGAAACGTCGGGAACCAAAAAATCAAATAAATCCACGAAAAAATCCGAAAAGATAGTTTTATTTAAAATGTATTTTATCTACATATTTATTTACATAAATCTTAGAAAAAAGCTTTTTTTTAATATATAAAAAATCTCTCCACTGTAAATTCACAACAAACAAACAAGTATTGCTCATTTGAACAAATCAGCACTAAGGCAACGAATTCCAACTAATTTTTATTAAGAAAATAAATAATTTTAATATGTAAATACCTGTATTTTTATTTATATTTCTTCGTACATCCACAACTCAAAGATTACTTGAGTTCGAGTCTCATAAGAAAGTTATCTCATTATACGGTAATCCCACGCTAGTGGTCACTATGTGCTGTTAATAAATAGGGATTATTGGACTCTTACGGCTGTCCCTTCGCAAAATGGGATATAAAATTAACTAAATAGGTTATATAAGGAGTAGTAACTCTATATTCTAATTATAGTTAAGATTTTCTCATTTCAAGAACTTTACTTCGGGTAGAGTTTACGAAATAGGCTAGCTTATTGGTCATATGCAATGCCACGTTTTACTCATATTTGGTCAGATTATCCTAGTTATTCACATACTTTGTGGTAAAGTAAGTTATGTATATAAAAATAGCATTTCATTTTAATTATTCACTTTCTAAGTTTCCAAGCTACGACTGAATAGGGCAGTGTTATAGTTTGTAACAGCTAATTTTCTCTAATTCTAATAATCGAGCTATTATAAATAGGAAAGTTATTTTTTATGTCATACATATTATATAGTTTGCTAAACCAATGTCAGATGTTAACCGTATACTTATCAATTCTATATTATATATTATATCAATTCTAATTTTTTGAATACATCATGCGACCTACCAAATGTTAGAATATACTAGCGGCTTGCCGTCGTTTCGCTCGGGTGCATCCCTAGGTGAGGAAGGGTGCAGGGAGCAGTGAGATGTAGGTACAATTTAATGGGTTTTAATTTATCTGCTCGCAACCTAATTTATTTTGGTAAAATAAAAGTAGCCTAAGTTTTTATCTTATATCTGCCAGTTAAAGTCTCATCAAAATCGGTCGAACCGTTTCGAAAATTAGCCAGAAGCCGATCAGACAGAGAGGCAGATCGACAACAAATTAGTTTTTTCTTAGAAAAAACTAATTTGTTTGTAAAAAACGATTATTTTGACATTACAAACAGAAACTTCAATTTTATTTATTTGTTTATGTATTTCAGTATTCTCAATTGTCCACTGCTGAGCCCGAACTAACTCTCAACTTCAAGTAATGTTAAGCATATTATATCGTGAGCTTTGTAAATGCGATTTGAGGGACTTGGCATGTCTATCGACAACCAATATGGTATTCTCAGACATGCAGGTCTCTTCACGATGTTTTTTTTAACCATATTAATATTTGTTACTCACTTTGAAAATCAGACTCTCATATGAATAATTTCAAAGACTAATTAGTCTCATGCCTTGAATACGCTTTACTCTTACAAGAATACAACTTTTAAATAACAGTTAATCACTTATCTATTAAAACTTGGTGACATATTACATCGATGTATATTAAAAATATAATAACGTGTACATTTTGTGGGCAGTAGTGATTTGTATTCAGTGGACTAACCAATATGGCGTCGTACATTGAGGAAGTTGGATCGTTCGGGCACAATAAAGAACTGCCGGCACAATAGCTTTCATGTTAATTGTATGGTCGTTTTTAGTAATAATGGAATAATATGTTATTTTTCATATCTATTTATAGCACTCAGATTGAGGAATAATATAATAGAGTATCATAGAACTAAACATAAAGCCAAACAATAATCTTACTAATATTATGTGAAAGTTTAGATATTTGGATAGATGTTTGTTACTCAATTACTCCAGAACGGCTGAACGGATCTGGATGAAATTTGGCACAGAGATAGATTATAGTCTGGCATAATACGTATTCTACTTTTTATTTAAAAATGTAGTTTTCCAGTGGGATACTTAGATATGTTTTTGTTGTTTTTCTAGAGGAACCGCTAGTGTCTTATAATAAATAGTATACAAATGACACTTTGTACGAGTGATAAGTAAGTTAATGTTAATAAATAAAACACCTAACCGATTTTATTATAATAAATAAAATAAAAATAAACTCTCTTTCGAGGGAAAGAGAACTAATGATTAAAATATGTATATAAAATCTCAAAAAAAAAAACAGACACTAAGAAGTAAAAAATAACTGAACGGCAGTTTTAAATGAAAACTCCTGTTCAGCTTTAGATACATAATCAGATATTTTCGAAGTCGATGCCAGCCGGAAATGCTTTAAAATATGAATATTTAATAGGTAAATAAGATAAGGTATGAACTTTAATTATTATAGTTAAAATATTTGCCTTGATTTGCATCAGCTGTTTACGTTTGTGTAGCACCTCCAAGTAAATTCCTCAAAAATAATTAAAATTCTAAGAAATCTATTGTTATCTGACACGCCGGCGTGTCCGCGGTCTTGGATAGAATAATCAATAAAGTGTAGCGTGAATAACTTTGAATTGAAATTATATATATCGAAACTTTTTGCAGTTTACTCAGTATATCTCACAAGGGAATTGCTTGATATATCCAGATTCATATATATATATTTTTAAATTTTAGATTTAGGAAGTTATATATATATATATATATATATATATATATATATATATATATATATATATTACTATTATAAAATTTAAAAAATGAAAAATGACGTCATTAAATTTCGCGTTAAAAAAATAGAAAAGGAAATTTTTAGTCTAGTTTTTCCAGAAGCTAAATCTATACCTACATATAATAAAATTCTAACTGAGTCAAATCTGGATATTAAATATTTTTTGGAAAATCTTATTGAAATATTCACTATTATCCATACAAAGGCCGATTTTAGAATTTTTGTCTATCTGTCTGTCTGGAAACGCATCACGAGAAAAGCACTGAACAGATTTTGATGAAAATCGGTATGATAATAGCTGGTTATCCATGGCAATATATAGGATACTTTTTACTGTGGGAAAATATCTCATCTCTGAAAAATCTATACTAACCTTTAAAACCTACTACCTAGGGACGAACCCGAGCGGAGTAATTTATAAGTGTTTATTGAAGTATATGAAGTTTATATTAAAAATACAACTTAATTATAGTTGTATTAATTCGCTAACTTCAATTAAATCTTACAACTGAACTAAGCAGTAATCCTATCCATCATATCCACTGCGATATTATTAGATTATTAGAACTGGAAACATATCCATATCCAATTTCTTTTATTATTAACTAGCTCACTTGTCTCCATCTTACGTTTATTTTAATAAGTGCAAATCGTTTAAGACAAACTCAACCATATTCCAAGGTACATAAAGTTCAAATTAATTTTATCGGTTGTCCAATGCAGCGTTTGGTAGCATTCAAATAGGGCTGGGATTTGTCGAATGTCGATAATCGAATTTCAATCACGTATGTTCATTATTTACGCTAAATTCGGTGAAGCGAAAGCTAAGGTACGCTTTGATCTTGAAACGGCATCTAAGTCTTGTTATGGAAATCGGTTATAGTGTAGGATATTCAATTATCAATATATATGTTAAAAAAAAAATGAAATTCGTCGGGGTAGCCTGATTCCCTAGAGGACGCGTCCCCAGGTGGCGGATAGGGGGATGCCCGATGGGGGTCAATCCTCCATAGGGTAGGAGGGAAATAAAATACCTCCCGCGGACCACAAGGCCGGAGATGGATTCTCCGTTATCAAACCCCACACGCAGGCTTCTTCGACATACTCGAAGTAGAGACTACGTGCGTGCTGGGTGCTCAGGATGGAGTACTCGGTAGGGATGGCGGCAGATGAGTTCCTAGAGGACCAACGGCGGCGCCCAAGCCCCGTAGTGGGTTACATCCTTGGCGTCAGGTGGCAACCGGCTGTAAAACAGAAGCCAACAACCATACTTATCATGAAAAGACAACACGTAAGGAACACGAGGAATACTAGGGCGTTCCCCTTAAGCGACGTCGGAGATGATGGAACTGCGAAATATGCTAGGGCGTCCCCCAAAAGCGACGGAAAAGCAAAACAGCAAGGCACCGTGACAATGTCCGAACTACGTATTGCTAGCTGGAACATTTGCACGATGACAGGACGCAGCGCTGAATTAAGTGCGATCTTAGAACGACGTCGCATCAACATCTGTTGTGTGCAAGAGACAAAATGGAAGGGTGCAAATTCACGACAAATCGGGAAGGGCTTTAAACTCATATACTACGGTACTGAAAATGGGAAAAATGGGGTCGGGATTATTCTAGATCAACATCTGAGCCAAAAGGTAATAGAAATAAATAGAGCGAGTGACCGCATCATATCTGTAAAACTAGCCTTGGAGAACCAAACCTGCCTCAATATTGTTTGTGTCTACGCGCCCCAGGTCGGCTGCCCTGAAACAGAGAAACAAGACTTCTGGGAAGAACTGTGTACAATGGGCATGTGGGCAGTGGCGTAGATAGGTTTGAGGGTCATCATGGGGGTTTTGGGTATGGAACACGAAACAAAGAAGGAACCACAATATTGGAATTTGCAGCGTCTCTAAATCTAGCAATAGTAAACACATTTTTTCAAAAGAAAGAGTAACACCTCATTACTTATAAAAGTGGGAAATCCAAAACACAAATCGACTATATAATGACAGATAGAAAGAATCTCAAACATATTAAAGATTGTAAAGTTATTCCAGGCGAACCTTTAACATCACAACATAGATTACTATTAGCAGCTTTAAAACTCAAACGACAAATTAAATATAAAATACCAAGAATAGATAGAATTAAATGGCAGGAACTTAATTCGGAACAGGGAAGCAATTTCAAGAATAAAGTCCTAGAGTACTTGAGTAACGACTTCTCATCAGACGACTCTCCTACAATAATCTGGTCTAAATTTCAGGATGCCTGTATTGCTCAAGCGAAATCTACACTGGGTATCTCCAAGGGTCCCCTGCATAACGAGAAAGATGCCAAATGGTGGAATAACAACACCAAAGCTACAGTGTCTGAAAAGAAACGCCTGTTCAAGAAATGGCAAGAGAGTGGCTCAGAGGAGGATAAGGTAGAGTACAAACAGGCTAAAAAGATTGCAAGAAGATCAGTTGCAATTGAGAAGGAACATGCAGACCTTGACCTTTATCGGCAACTAGAACTAGCTTCGGACACACAGATATATAAAATAGCGAAGCACAGGCATAATAGCACTAAGGACTTTAGGATTACAAAGTACATCAAAAACAGCAAAGGCATGCTGCTAACATCTGATAAAGATATTTGTAAAAGGTGGTACGAGTATTACCATACATTGCTCAATGAGGAGTTCCCCAGACAGGCTGAAATCGAAGAACCAAGAACACAAGGACCCGTAAATCAAATCACCATAACGGAAGTCGAAAAGGCTATTCTGAAAATGAAAAATCACAAAGCCTGCGGGCCTGATGACATTCCAGCTGAACTGTGGAAGTCCTTGAAGGTGGACGGGAAAATATGGCTAACTAATTTGTTTAATAACATCTTAACAGCTGAAAAAATGCCAGATGCTTGGAGAAAAAGCATACTTGTCCCCTTTTACAAAAATAAGGGAGACGTTAGAGAGTGCGGGAACTTCCGGGGGATAAAACTCACTTCACACACCCTTAAAATCTGGGAACGAGTGCTCAGTGAACGCCTAGCATCTTTAATCTCCCTAACGGAAAACCAGTTTGGTTTCACAGCGGGAAAGGGAACCATGGATGCAATCCATGCTGTAAGACTGGTAATGGAAAAAGCTAAAGAAAACGACCAAAACCTGTGGATGATTTTATAGACCTAGAAAAAGCTTTTGACAGAGTACCAAGGACTGTGATATGGCAGGCACTTAGGGCGCATAACATACCTGAACACTATATACGCCTCATTAAGGACATGTACAACAACGTCCAAGCCTGCGTCAGGAGCTCGGCAGGTCTATCTGACAGCTTTGACATAAAAGTTGGCGTTCATCAAGGCAGTGCACTGAGCCCTCTGCTATTTAATGTAGTCATGAACTATCTGACGGCAAAAATTCAAAAACCAACTCCGTGGAATCTGTTGTATGCGGACGACGTAGTTCTTATACCTGACAGTGTGCTGAAGCTACAGGAAGACTTAGAGAAATGGAGAGAGTCGCTGGAACAAAATGGCTTACGCATTAGCAGGACAAAAACCGAGTATATGTTCTGTAACTTCAACCCCAGCGCTTCACTTGACTCGGGCATCACACTGGATGGCACGGCCATCCCTAGAGTTAAAACATTCAAGTATCTAGGATCCGTTCTTTTCGAAGATGGTTCTATTGAAGCGGACATAACACAAAGAATGACATCGGGATGGACGAAGTGGCGCACTCTCACAGGGGTACTATGTGACGCTAAAATGCCAATAAAAACTAAAGGCAAGGTGTATAAAACGGCAGTACGACCAACACTACTGTACGGAAGCGAGGTTTGGGCAACCAAAAAGATTCATGAACAGAAGCTACACACCACCGAAATGCGTATGCTAAGATGGGCGGGAGGAGTAACACTTAAAGACAAAGTACGTAACGAATATATAAGAGGAAGTTTTAAAGTTGCACCCATAACCGACAAAATATTAGAATCAAGGCTCAGATGGTATGGACACGTAATGCGTAGGCCCAACGATTACGTGGTGAAAAAGTGCCTTTCCATTGCAACAAGAAAGAGGGGCAGGGGAAGACCCCAAGCTACTTGGATGACGACTGTCCAGAGGGACTAGAAATGCCTCGGCCTCACCGATGAGGACGCGAACACACGATCTACGTGGCGTCGCATGATAAGGAAAGCTGACCCCGCGTAACGGGATAAGGCGAGGACAAAGAAGAAGAAGATGTTAAAAAAATGAAAATGTATATTACATAAATGTTTTTGTCGTTTAATGTGTAATTTAAAAATGGATACCTATTAGTGGAGATATCTAACCTCTCAATTACATTACGGACATATAAAATACAATTTTATATGTTTTTGTGTGACTTGTACACATAAATACTAGGTTCCTTATAAAAGCCTTTTAGACCCATATAATACATAGCCTATGTGCATACAAAATGTTATCCAAATCCGACAAGTTGTTTCAGCTTTAAGAAATAACAAAATAAAAAAACTTTCGCATTTATAAAAATAGTCCATTATTATATATTATATTTGCATGTACATATATATAAATAAATATGTTGGAACATTATCACACAACACCACCTAATTCTATGGTAATAAGCTACGAGCTTGTGTTATGGATACCAGATAGTTGATACTCTACACATATTATATAACTACAAATACATACATATTATAAATGGACATGACTGGAATAGAAATATTTGGGTTAATTACATAAATTAATGCCCCAGCGGGATTCGAACCCGCGACCGCTGGCACAGCAAGTAAGTTCACTACAAACTGAGCCAAACGTGCCGTCAAATATATACTATGTAGGCAGCTATATCTGGAACTACTAAACTAATTCTAAAATTTCGTACATTATAGAAAAAAATGAGTGGGAAAGATAAATATACCACTTAAGGGGAGTCACATTGATGGAAGTAAGAGAAACATCAATTAATCTATACATATTATAAAATTGTAACTGAAGCGAGTCTGTACAGTAAATATTTTTTGAAAAATCTTATTGAAATAGACATTATTATCGATACAGAGGCCGAATCTGTAGTTTTTAGAATTTTTGCCTCTCTGTCTATCTGTTACCGCATCACGGAAAAACCACTGGAGGGATTTTGATGAAACTTGTCATGATGATACCTAGTTATCCGGGTCAACATATATAATGCTTTTTACTGCGGGAAAATATCTCATCTATGAGAAATCTATACTAAACGTTAAAACGTGACGCTGGTCGTTATATAAAAGCCTTAAAAGGTTTATATTTATATCTAAATGTAACATCACTATCTCATAAAGCAACGACTCATCACTACCTTCGTTTGCTATATCTACCGTCTTATTATCCCAGCTTAATAAGCGTTTCATTTGAGAAGTTCCGTCTTATTGGATGAACGGTAAAAATCTTAAATGGTATTCCTTTCCACCTTTGCTTTAAATACAAGTACCTATTTAAAGTAAACTTTGAAGTTAAAAAGCAAATTTTAATACGTTGGGACATTAACACCCAGCACCATCTAGTTCCATGGTAAGCTATAAGGCTTGTGTTATGGATACCATATAGTATATATAGTTGATACTGCACATATAAAACTTTAAATACGTACATTTTATAAATATTTTTACACCCACGACAAACTGACTACTAACATTCGTGATCATCACACAAATGTATGCCCCCAGCGGGACTCGAACCCGCAACCGCTGGTACAGCAAGTAGTGATACACACTGGGATAAACGTGTCGTCAAAATTATTCGAAGGAAAAAAGTAAAACTGCGTTAATAATTTCAAGGTTTTTTTTTATCAGATTTCCCAGAAAGTAGCATCGATGACTATCATTTCAAGCTCGATATTATAATTTATCATCTCAAGCCAGGAAATACTCAGTAATTAAAGTTTAAAGTTGCTTAAATATCTACTACATATCTACAATAATATAACATCTTGTATAACATATCTATTTGAAACCCACTGTTCTGTATTCAATGTTCGCGTGTTCATGTTAGTTTTTCGTCTTAAGCTGTTTGGAAGAAGCCGCTTTTGCCCTTCTTAAAGTCCGATTGCACGAGTCTCATCATAATACGAGAGGGATCAAGCCATAGCCCACCACGCTGGCCAAGTGCGGATTGGCGGACTTCACATATCTTGTTGTCGCGAACGTGCTAGGTTCTTTCAGACATGCAGGTTTCCTCACGATGTTTTCCTTCACCGTAAGACAAGTGGCAATCATATTGATAACGAAAATATGACCCGGCATTTGACCCCGGTTCACTTGGTTTTCCAAGCAAACGCGTTACCGCTGAGCTACCACTGCCTATCTTAAAACTAATAAATATTATTTAAAACTATTAATATTTGTTAAATAATAAATGTTATATTAGCCATATATTGAAATAAACTGACAAGTACTATGTAGTACATCTTCTTATTTCAATGATATATAATAATATATACAATAAACTGTTAAATATATAATAATATATACAATAAACTGTTGCCAGACTGAATTCATGCCGAAATCGTTCACTTTGAGCATTCAATAATTAATATTGTACTGTAATAATAAACTAGTACTAAAGGAGCTCTTTTGAAGTCTTAGTTACTAATTGGCCGGTTATATTTGAGTTCTGAGTATAACAATAAGTGCAACTCAAAACAGTGTCTTTGAAAGCCAATTTTAATTATTAGAGATAGTGATTTGTTCTTTTAGCTATCGATTTTTCATCTACAATAGATGGTTACAGTAGATTGGTTTACATGTAAAAATGCTTAAATAACTTTTTATATTTATAACTAAGTTTTACCCTCTCAAATTCAACTAGAGACTTCTATAGGCTCAGAATGGACATTTAAAGAAAAGAGCTGGCAAGAAAATGGCACTGTTACAAGCGCCATGGTCACGGGTAGGTATAGGTACTAGATATGAAGTATACGGGAACTCTCAAAAGTAATCGCTATATGGTAAATATCCCATTATACATCCTAATAATATTGTCAGTGGCCATGCAAGTTTAAGAAATAATAGCTATCTTAGTATCTATACTTAATATTGAAAAGTCATTATTATCGATACAGAGACCGAATCTATAGTTTTTAGAATTTTTGTCTGTCTGTCTGTGACCGCATTACAAGAAAACCACTGGACATATTTTGATATAATTTGGTATGTTGGTAGCTGGTTATCTGGGTCAACATATAGGATACTTTGTACTGTGGGAAAATATCTCATCTTTTAGAAGACTATACAAAACGTTAAAACGCAACTAGGGACGAACGTGAGTCGCTAATTTTTATAATAATAAATCATGAGGCAAAAACAAGATATCATCCTACAAGCTATGATAAAAATAGAAATCTAAATAAATATAATATAGGAGTGACATATTATAGTTAATGAATAATTATTAGATTTGTCTTATTGTATCTTATCTGATCCTCCATGTCACGTAGTTCATCATAAGTTTAACATAAGGATTGAAAAGCAAAGGAACAACCGAAGCATATGGAAATTTCGCCGGACTTCCTACACTTATACACAAAATCCTATTTGCCTTTAAAAAGCGCATGTTATCCGACCTAGTTAACATTTTTTATTTCATACCAACGTCTTATAAATTCCGAGCAACTTCATTATTTGCTAAGATAATAACGTTGCAGAATAACATTGTGAAAGAAATTACTGTAAATGTTAGTTACATTTTTTGTCACTAGATGGCGGAATTTATACAAGGAGTGTTTTTATTATAACTTTAATATTTTCCTTGAGTATTAAAACAGGAGCATTGTAAAATTATCTTGCTATGCTAATTTTAATATGAATTTTTATCATATAATAACTTTGCCTTGCTTTGTTGAATTTATATATCCATATCCGGTTATCCGGCTATCTGGTTGCAGATCTGACAGTCCTAGGTTTGAATTTTACGAGTAATTTTAATTTAAAGTCAATTTTGAAAGTTAAATGAAATGTATTGTTAGTGATAAAGCTTAAAAAAATTACTGAGAAGAGTCCGCTAGTAACTCAATAGATGTTTTATCAAAAATAATGTCCCTCTTCTGGGTATGGGACTCCCTTCAATACCAGAGGGATCAGGATCAGTCCGCGCTAGCCAAGTGCGGGCTGGTGGATTGCACATGTCTTTCGAAAACTTGCTAGGTCCTCACAGACATGCAGGTTTCCTCATTGTATTTTCCTACACCGTAAGACAAATGGTAACCATGTTGGAAATGATTCGCACATGAAAATATCATGCTAGACCCGGGATTTGAACCCGCTTCACTCGGTTTCCCAAGCGAGCACGTTACCACTGAGCTGCCACTACTCAAAAATAATATTCGTTTACAATACTAGAATATAATATATTTTACTAGATTTTACGCTCTTTTACTAATCTCACGCGTGTGTTATATATTAGAGCATCGTGATATGTCAAATTACATGGTACATTTGCGACTCTAATGCATCTAAATTCGTTATATCCCACCCCAATTTATGTTGCACTTTAAGTTTCTTAAATAGGATTACTTTTCCTCTTAAGAATTGAAAGAGGGTTGTAAGATTTAATATTGCACTCTAACATCTTTATAACATACATAAGCTCCTATCAAGGTTGGCTGTTTTTGTATCTTTTATTTATGTATTAATATTAAAATATTATAGATTTAGATACATTTTTTTGGAAAAATAAATATTAAATATATTTGGATATTAACACACAGCACCATCTAGTTCCATGGTAAGTTACGAGGCCTGTGTTATGGATAACAGATAGTTGATACACTACATATATATAACTTTAAATACATACATATGATAAATAAATTTTAACACCCATAACTGGAGTACAAACTTGCGTGCTCACACAAATGAATGTCCCCAGTGGGACTCGAACCCGCGACCACTGGCGCTTTTTCTGATATTATATATTTTAATCTTTATATATCAGTAATTAATGAATGTAATAATTTATAAATATTAATTTACCGAATGGTACACTTTGAAGCCATTAACAGGAGAATTGAATTGAATAATGTATGCCATTTTTATATACTCAATATAGATATTTATGTAATAAATATGATTTTTTTCTCTAACAAGCATCGAACCTGTGAGCTGCTTCGTGTAATGAATAACCGTTTACGTATCGTCGCTGCGTCTGTGGTTTTAATTAAGATTTTCCAAACACATTAAGCTCAGTGTCGATGTATGCATTTTACAAACAAAGTCACTATTAGCTAGATTAGAAAATTATATACCTCTGACCTCTATCATTTGAACGAAATAACATATTCTAAAATATAATTTTATTTTGATTATTCTCTTCAATGAAGATTAAAGAATAATTATTGAGTCTTACATTACATCTTACATATTTTGATCATCGATTTAATATGAGACAATTTTGATAACTTATAGCTCTAATACACTTTAATTTATTAACTTATAAGTCTAATAATAAAAAGTACCTGAAGCGACTGTGCTTCGCTTGGCGTTTTTTTGGAAAAGATATAAAATTGATTTTTTATACCTTATCTATATCTATATATATATATAAAAGAATTTTATATATATATATATATATATATATATATATATATATATATATATGATGTTCTCCTAGCCGATTCCGGCCACGGCGGCCAATCTCATTGAGATTAGCCAACTGCGCAGGAGATATTATAGTGCTCAAGTGTACGCGCAGACACAAGTGCACTCTCTATTCCTGTCACTCTCATACTCCGGTGGGACGACTGCTCGACACGACTAGTGAGAGTTAAGGCGCAGGACCGACGGCTTTACGTGCTCTCCGAGGCACGGGGGTGAAACACCGCCAACTTCCCAACTCCGGGCTGTTACTGAGACTTTCTATACAGAAAGACTCAATAACTAAACTTGGCCCGACCCGGGACTCGAACCCAGGACCTCCGGGTGTGCAGCCGTACATGCTAGCCACTACACCACCGAGGCAGTTAATATATATATATATATATATATATATATATATATATATATATATATATATATATATATATATATATATATATATATATATATATATATATATATATATATATATATATATAAAATATATATATATATAAAATTCTGCTTTCTTAAAAAAACAACATTCACTCACAAATTATTATTAAACAATTTTTATATAAGGGCCTATAACTGAACTACAACATAAAATGTACACTAAACAATATTTTGATTTATTTTCTTAATATTTACTTCTTCCCCCTGCCTATTTCCCAATCACTTGGGGTCGGCGCAGTACATCTTCTGTACTACTGAAAGGTACTTTCTTATTATTTGCATTCTGTTTAAATGAATTGAGTACCCAATAAAATGGATACTTTTGAAATAAGCCAAAAATAATATGCCTTTTTTAAAATTATCCATACTAATATTATTAATGTGAAAGTATTTCTATCTGTTGCCTTTTCATGCTTAAACCGCTGAACAGATTTCGATAAAATTTTGCAAGAAATACATAGATTGCCTCCTGGGATAGCATATATTCTTGAACTCCACGCTACTTATGCGCGAGCGGCCGCTGGTAAAAACTAGTATCAAATATAAAGGACTCCTCTACGTAAGTCGACTGCAATTATTCGATTTTATTTTTTTTTAAGATAAATACAGAAACGAGCTATCCTTTTTTTTGTTATTTGACGACACGTTTGGCTCAGTTTGTAGTCAGTATTGTGTGTACTTGCTGCGCCAGCGGTCGTGGGTTCGAGTCCCGCTGCGGGCATTCATTTGTGTGCAGAGCACGAATGTTTGTACTCTAGCCATGGGTGTTTATATTTATATTTATAATATGTAAGTATTTAAAGTTATATATGTGTATTATATCAACTACCTATTATCCATACACAAGCTGACCATGGAACTAGATGATGCTGTGAGTTAATGTCCCATCATATTTATTTATTTATATTTATGAGTAAACACGTCTTCAGGGAAATCGCAGTTTTCTAGCTGTACATATATTCTATGTTAACTACATGTTTAAGGGAAGTATACAGAGTGCTTCATGCTTTGTGTCTATTAAGTACATCGCAAGGAGATTCCAATTATTCAAGTGTGTATATAATATTATGTAATAAATCATTAATAAGGAATTTCTATGAAACCATATGTTTTGCATGAACATACCAAATTTTCTTTGATATGAAATATTAATATATAACTACGAATAAATTATTATTTATTCATAGATATATAATTTTATTGCATAAAGACACCTAAATTATATTTCTATGTTTCGTAAGACTTTACAAAGTCACAAATTCTTCATAATTTAAATGAAACTTTCTACAGAACTTAGAGATTTTGCAAATAATGACGTTATGTTTATTTGAACCTTATACTAGTAACTTCATCTGGATTTGCTTGGGTATATTCCTAAGTGCCTTTTGCGACCTGATTCACGACTTTTCTTTATATACATATGTACACATTCTTTATATATGTATGTACGTACAATATATGTACATATATATGTATGTACTCGTATTTATATTAACGAAAATGATCAGCGCCGTCTTTTGGCATATTTTATTACTTACATTAGTGTATAACCCCTCTCTCTCGTACTAAACTTATCAAAATCCGACCAGCCGTTCTAACATATATAACATATACACATATCCACATACAAATTTTCCTATTTGTCACTATACCAATGAATGATTACTTAATATAACGACAATTTACAAACTTTAGTTTATTATAAAGTAGTAATAAACAATTGCAATTACGCTTCCAAATTCGTTTAGTTTCAAATACAAAGTATGCACGAGTGGAATAGTTTGGACTGCGGCTACCCAATAAGTCTTGCTGCTGTCTTGTGGATGCTGTACTGAAACACCTTATACTCGTATATAAAACTTTTGATGCCACTCAGAGAAGATATCGTCTATACATATAATAAAATTGTAACTAAGCCAAATCTGGACATTAAATATTTTTTGGAAAATCTTATTGTAATAAACATTATTATCGATACAGAGGCCGAATCTACAGTTTTTAGAATTTTGTCTGTCTGTCTGTGACCGCATCACAGAAAAACCACTGGAGGGATTTTGAAGAAATTTGGTATGGTGACTTTTTACCGCGGGAAGATGTCTCATGTCTGAGAAAGAATACAAAAACTGCAATGTAAGAGTATACTAATATGTAAAACCTAAGAAATTGGTTTTTGGTCATCTGAACACGGCCGGAGCCGCGGGCAATGCTAGTTATATTATAAATACGGTAGATAGTGAGTAAGTGAATGAATGAGGCGATTGAAGAAGTTAGTGTATGTTTGTTGCTTTACATCGTAACGACTAAATAAAGAGTGAATGGAAATGTAATAGCTTATATTTTAAATCATGGATCAAATAATACACTTAAACCGTAAAAGTAAATAAAATAATCAAAACTAAAGTTTTAGAGCTTTTATAAATAGTATGTGAAGTGTCAACAAAAGTGTAGCTTCACTTATAGAAAGTATAAATATATAACTTCTCTCTAGATTAAATATACTAATATTTATGATATATTAAATTTAAATATCATTTCTACATTTTCATATTTTGCTATAATTTTTACATAACAAAAAATAAACAGAGGAGAAAAAGGTGCTGTAACGTTTTATTTTTGTATATATATATATATATATATATATATATAAACAAAAATAAATCAATATTAACTAGTTGATACAAGTACAAAACAAAAAGAATTAAACTCATTCGAGTTTTACCATGGACCAGCATTATCGAGATGTACAAAAATTCTGACAGCAGTTGTATGGAGGTTGTTATGTGGTTGGATATGGAAAATAATATACAAATAAAACAACTAGAATTAGTTTAAAACTTAACCTACAACATTTGATTAAACAGTTCTAAATAAAGCTAACATTGTATGTATGTATGTACTCAGCCCTTTTTAACGTCCCACTGCTGGGGGTGGGTCTCCCTTTAATATGAGGGGAATTAACTCATAGTCCACCACGCTGGCCAAGTGCGGGTTGGCGGACTACACACGTCTTTCGAAAACTTACTAAGTTCTCTCAGACATGCAGGTTTCCTCACGATGTTTTCCTTCACCGTAAGGCACGTAGTAATCATGTTGGAAATGATTGGCACATGAAAATATTAGAGATGCAAGACACGGGATTTGAACCCGTTTCACTCAGTTTCCCAAGTAAGCGTCTTACCACTGGGCTACCACTGTCTCTAAAAAGCTATCATTACATACATATATTAGCTGTCATAAGGTAAAGGTCAATCTACAAAAAGGCCTATTTTAGTAACGAAATTGTGTTAAGTAAAGTAGAATTGAAAGATGCCTTACACAGTATTATATTTTTGTAAGTGATACTTAACCCTCTTCACTTATTTGGAACAGACGTTTTAGTAGTCGGTAGATCTTCTAGCCTTGGACTACTTAGTGCTTACATGGCGTAGTTTATTTCGTTTTGTTTTACACTTTTTTTGAAATAAACGCTTAATATGAATATTTATTAATTGTTATATTTTATTGTAATTTTATAAACTTTAGTTAGAATTTAAGGTGTATATTTGATATTTTCAACCGACTTCAAAAAGGAGGAGGTTCTCAATTCGACTGTATGTTTTTTTTTTTTTTTTTATGTTTGTTACCTCAGAACTCCGTCATTTATTAACCGATTTGGACAATTTTTGTTTTGTTTGAAAGGGTGTACTTCCACATTAGTCCCATTTAAATTTCAAAAAAAAATACCACCCCTAAGGGTGGAAAAACAACGAATGATGAATTTAACCTACTTCTAATTGTCATATTGACTTGAAACTTTGCAAGTATTTCTATTTCTGTTGATAGTACAGTGGTTCAGTGTTGTTGACCTGATCTGATGGCAAGGCCAGAAGGTGGTTAGGTGGAACTCTTCAACGGCTAATAGTAGATACTTTGAGTTTGGGCTTCTTTTGTTTGATTTGACAAGCCTAACACGTTAGAATCCTTACTTTGCTACTACTGTCTACACTAAAAAGGGAAAAATAAAAACTTTTTAACAAAAAAATAAAAACCGACTTCAAACAAAAGCACTAAAAAGTAAAAAATAACTGATTGGTAGTTTTCATTTACTATACATACCTAATCAAATATTTTCGAAGTCGGTGTGCTTTGGCTAAGTAATTAAAGCCTACCTATTAAATACATACCTAATCAAATATTTTCGAAATCGGTGCCAGTCCATACAAAGCAAAAAAAGAAAGTATTAAGAAAGTATTAAATTCTCAGTAGTTAAAACCGAATTTTCGAGTATTTATAGTTAGTATCACATCAATAATATAGTCTAAACTGATTGAAGTGAAACTTAACGAGTCCAATAGGAAAGGCAAGATAATATTTCATTGGCTTAGCATATATGTAAAGTAAATATTTTAAAATTATTCTTTAATCCCTCCACGACCGCGGACACGCCGGCGTGTTAGTTAACAATAGATTTCTTAGAAATTTAATAATTTTTTTAGAAATTTACCTGGAGGTGTTAAGAATAAATATCTGAATTTGTATTACAAGTATACAACATGTAAAGCTTAAATTAATTTGTTCAAACATTCATCTATTTAATTGCGTTACATAATTTAACACACGAATAGTTTTTGGATAATTTCTCTACGTCGTTGAAGATCCGTTGAAGACGAGAGCAAATACTTTTAGCGTCTTCAACGGCAATTCGTCACATTGGTTACGTATTTTGTTTCCACTACTACGAAAAAT